ACATGCACCTTTAACAATCTTTCAATTTCTAAATTAATCGTCCGCGAGTAATAAAGTGACTTCTTTTTATTGAAGGTGCCTCGACCCTACGCTATCCTCTGCTTTATATCCCTACTACTCCTTCCGTCCTAACTTATCTGACTTCCATTACCGTATGAGATATTCATTATTCTTCTCTTTAAATCATTGATCTGACAATTCAAGGAAAAAGCAATCCTGTAAGAGATGATGTAACTCCGGCGTAATCCACAAGGGTCGGGACGAGGGATCGATTTTAATTGCATTTGATAACTTCTTCAAAAATATTGGATGCATGTTTTTAAATTTTTTATTTTCATTTTACGTCATATGGAGTATCCACCATTTTAATTCTATTAGAATACTTTCTCTATAATTTAATATTATTTACATTTAAAATATTTATATTTAAGGTAGGTATTTATTCAAAGACAAGATATATATCTTGAAGCGAAACTAAAATCATATCAATATCGTGATCGCGCATAAAAAATTCCAATCTTTATTACTTTTCGACAGGAAGACGATATTTTCAAAAATATCGTATTGTCTCGTATTACGGTAGCCCTTATAATCTTAGATTCAATTTCTGAAATGAAAAATTAAAATATTTTTTTTGCTGTAGATATCAAATATCAACTGCTTTTATTGACTTCAATTCTTGTCTTTACATTGTTTTACTTGGTTTGTTTTACTTTTCTTATTCCTCTTTGAAAACGTAGTTGGATGTCAATGTTTTCCTTTTGAAACTGACTTCTTCTGAAGGTTTACTTAGTTTCTTTGATTTGTTTGGAAACAACACTGAACTTTCCTAGAAGTTTTATTTCAGAATAAAAATAAACAGACGAGCTTAGCATTTCCTTAGAACGGTGCAAACTAAACAAGTGAATTTCTCTCTGATAAACTTTTCCTTGCTGATAACGATAGACACAATTAATTTAACATCGTATGTCTAATATAAACTTGTAAAATGATGCAGAAAACTGTTTGACTTTCTTATGACGCTAGTGTTGTTGCTGGAAGTGGTGAGTGATCATGTTTGATTAAAATTCACTTCAGATGTCTTGACAATTAGTTTTATCAGACAGTTTTGGTCATTGCAAGATACAATGTGTCCATTAGTGATCACATTTATATTCTTAATTGCAATAATTAGTGACAACTGCACTGAGATAGGAGCTGTTAATGCTGAACCAAGTCATGATCCGTAAGAAATTAACAAGTTTATTTACAATTTTTTACACCATATTGTAAAACTTACCTTTCCCAAGTCCTTACACAAATTTAACCCATTCGAGGACAGAAAAGCAATTTAATATCACAGAAATGTTTCGCAATGAGATTTTTAATTATCAATAGTGGTTAATATGAAATATTAATGTGGAAATTAATTTTCAATTTTCCATCCACTACAAACTCTCAGGTTAATGAGGAAAATTTTTGTTGCTGTTGTCACACGCCCGCCGCTTGGTGATCAGAGCATTGTGCGTAAAGTCAAAGGTCTCGGGTTCGATTCCCGGCGGAGGTGTGACAACAACGACAAAAATTTTCTTCATTAATCTGAGGTAGTTTGTAGTGGATGGAAAATTGAAAATTAATTTTCACATTAATATTTTAAATGTTTCGCCTTTAATGTATCAGGCATCATCAGAACGAAAAGTCTATGTGTTCTGTAATCTTGAATGAGGATGTATTAAAAACGAAACGTTTGCTGGTTGGTTGTGATATTTAATTACTTTTACCTGCGATTTGGTTATCATATCCATATAAGTCTCATGAAAACTGGGACGATGATGTCCATAGTGTTAGATATGTATATATAGCATGGGAAATAATAGCAGGGACGCAGGCTGGCCTATCCTGAATATTAACCCGGTACGTCGTATCGTAAAATTAAAACCATAAACATTCAACTTCACATAATCCAAGACGCAATGCATCGTTTTCATTAAATGAAGACAGAAATACCAAAATTAAGGACTTTTGCGATTACTTTTTACTACATTAGATCTGAAGACGCCTTGGGTTATATGGAAGTTAAATTCTACAACGGTGTCGACAGTTCTCTAAACATTTTCATCTACATCGGGATCGAAATTAATTCAGAAAAAGTCAAATTTTCTTTAAAAATCTTATTCTCATTCATATTTTAGGAATATTTGTATGATTTCGAAAAAAAAATTAATTTCAAGATAAAAACAATATCAATTATGGTTTCTATTATTTTTTTTATGCAATAAGTATCCAAAGCCAAAGGTTAAGAGAAAAAATTTATTTGTATCATATGTACTGCAGTATAAACTGGTACTATACATACTAGTTACAACTGTCTTTTAAAATTTTATACCATCATCATCATAAGGTCGTCAGTCCTAAGACTGGTCGGACATGCACCTCCACTCTTTCTTATTCTGAGCTAATCTTCGCATTTCCCTAAAACTAGAACAACCCACACTCTTAACTATTGGCGAAAACTAATCTAATCTAAGTCTACCTCTACCTTTTCTAACTTCAGTTTCTGCCTCTAATATGTCTCTGACTAGACCTTCATGCCTGAGAAGGTGTCCCAATACTAACCTATCTCGCCTATTGGTTATTGACTTCCATAGAGCCCTCTTCTCTCTTATTCTTTCTAGTACCTTTTTGTTTCCAACCTTCTCTATTCACGGTATCCTCATCATTCGCCTGTAACACCACATTTCGAACGCTTCTAACCTTTTCCGCCGCGACCACTGTCCATATTTCGCACCCGTACAACGCCGTGCTCCAACCATACACCTTTAACAACCTTTTATACCAATTGATAAAAATTGTCAAGCAAATTGTTTTCATTTGTTTTACAGAATCAAATAGCGGTGTAGATATTGTATCTAAAATTGATTAAATTTCTTTTTTGAACAAACTTTGGGAACTAATAAAGTACGTAATGAAGTAATCTAGACGAAAAAAATGCGTTGGAAGTTCTTTGTCAGAAAACTTTAAGCTCTTTGATCTTGTTCGTTAAGTAATTGAGTTAATGTTTAGAAATGAAGTAGGCAGGAATTTTTGCAATAAATATATAATATATTTTTAGTTCCTTGGCCTATTATTTTTCATTACTTATTTGACGATTGATATGAACTAAGATGAATATCATTTAATTTTACGATCTCAGTTTTTTCCGAAAATAGCCAGCGGAAATTCGAAATGTGCAAATTCTTCAAAAAATATTTATCATATAGTAACAACAGCAAGTAATCATTAGCCCAATTTTAGATTTGTGTAGGTACATATTCTACATTTACGTAAATTAACATTATAACTTTTTTCATTATAATGTTATTTTATTACATGCTCAATATCTTTTTGATGTGTTCAAATATTTACAAACTTCAGTCAGTTATTATCATCAATTATTTAACTATCCAGCACCAACCGCCAACTATATTAACACGTACATATGCATACACTATACAGCAATATAAAGCAATTGTACTGATTACAGGGCGCTTGCTATACCTTTCTTATTTATATGACAGGAAATCAATATTTGTGACGCAGATGGTTTGATGTAGGCAGTTTGTAATTAACGATTATAAACTAATGAACACTTACTTACGTAGTTGTATATCCTGTTTGGTAATATCCTTTGTGTGTTAAGTAATTTTGGACATGTCTCGTGTTTGTACAATAGTTTGAGCCTAAACTTACGACCCTCTCCAGTTCTTTCAGAAATTATTAAAGAGAAAATTACAACATGTTCTTAGAGGAAGAAAGGCAAGACATTAGGTTTAACGTATTTACAGTATTTTATCAGATATAAACAGAATACAATGAAATTTCTACTCTACGTTGCAGCCCCATCTCTATAACTTTATACAAACTAAGTATCTATCTTTGTAACTCATCCCTACATTTTTAAATATATTTAACATCTTGTCCCATTTAACATTGTCAAAAGCTTTTTCTAAATCTACTCTAACTCCTTTGCACGCATGTATGTTCTTTTTCTTTTTTCTATCGTTTTCTCTATTGTTACTCGTTAAGCTAGAATGGCCTCCCGCGTTCCTCTATTTCTTCTAAATGCAAACTGATCTTCCCCTAATAGTTCTTCCGCCCTTTTTTCCATCCTCCTCTGTACAATTCTAGTTAAGATTTTTGACACATGAAAACAATTGTTGTAATTGTCTCGCACCTATCCGTGACTAACTAGCTTAAACTTACGATCTCTAACCTCTTGTCCTGCATGTTTAAGAATTTCCCCCTGTATCCCATCTACCCCTGACGCCTTATTATTCTTTAAGTTTTTTAATGCTACATCGAACTCTTCTCTGATTATGGGATAACCAAGCTCATCTATCTCCACACTATCTTCCTTCTCTAATATATCTCCTAACTCAGGGCCTGCGTATAGGTTCTTTAAATATTCTTTCCACCTATCTGCCTTTTCCTTATTTTCTATCAAAATGACCCCTGCCCCGTTTCTTCTATTATTACTACTGTACCCTACATCTCTAAAATTCCTTTTAATTATAATTTAAGCCTCATCGTTAATTTGTAGTGAATAAAAGTTAAACAAATCTTCAAGTTAATGTTAAATAGTAATCACTATTAAAAGGTTTCTTAAAATTTTTCACATGAAAAAACTTAAATCTTTACGTGTATTGTATTAATTCAAGTAACTGCACAATTTTCAAGTTTGCATTAAATTCATTGACTTCATTAGCTTTCATATAAAATTGGAGTACATGTTTTAGTGACTAAAACCTTTTATGGAGATAATTAGTCCAATGAATATTAATAACAGATTTACTCACTGATTACGACAGGCGATAAGCTTTACTGACAACTCATACATACTTGTTCTCCATAAAATTCGCGAAAATCTTTATAGCGTCCCGTCTTTGAATACGTTTGACTACGTAAGTGTAAATATACGAAATGGGAGCATATACTCGACGGAGACAACAGCATCACACACTACAGAGTTGTATTCAGCAACTGAGTTTATTTCGAGTAATTGCGAGACAAACTCGACAGATAATTGTCCAATTTTATGCGGAAACTTTGATGACTACAGCCAGAATACCATCTTGGATATGTTGTTGGACCCATGTCGATATGATAGCGACGTTATTCCTTCTTCAGTAAACCCCTTGGATGTGCAAGTTCGAGTTCAAGTTAGTTACATGGATGTAGATACGGAATCAGTAAGTATTAAAACGTAAATGCATGATTAAAATCCAGGGTTTCCATGACCGATTTTCGTCAATTGGGCCACTCAATCTAAATCTAGAATTAATCCGTCCGTAGACTGAAGAGATCTTTCCGGTCTACTCTTTGGTTTTATAGTAATGTTCTTACTAATACTAGAATGAAACTGGTGTAGATTAATTCTATTTATACAAAGAATACACTGGTTACTTAAACAAATAAATTGTAATTGTTTAACAAATCATTTTCCAAATGAGCAAGTTCCAGATTCGTATTCAGTGGTCCAAAACACTTAATTATGATGCTCTGGACTTAAATCAGACACGTGAAAACTAAAGATGTATCTGGTGACGTTATTTGCTTCTAATTTTTAAGCAATTGTTGAAAACTCGACTTCAAGTGGCTTTTGGCTATACTGATCCTCGTCTAGCTTACCATTTTTTGTCACCAAATAAAAGTGCACTCATGGGCGAAGAAATACTGATTAGAAGACTGTGGACACCTCACATTTATGTGTTGAATGAAAAGATGAGCAACGTAATGGGTTTGGATAAATCAGATATGTATGTCACAATTGATCCTTCTGGTAAGGTTGAGTTGAACCAACGTATATCATTAGCTACTCATTGCTGGATGGACCTTATGAAATTTCCATTTGACGAGCAAACTTGTAGTGTTGATTTTCAATTGTGTAAGTGAGCTAATATCAGAAGTCAATAATCAGTCAAGCACAGAACTAATGGGTTAATTTTTTTCTTTTAGGGTCTTACGATGTCTCTAAGGCAATACTTAGATGGCGAAAAGATAATCCCGTAATATTAAGTCCAAACTTATTCATTACCGAATTTGATTTGAATGATTACAAAGCTGAAGAAGCGGCAAAACTTAGATCGACCGACTTAAGTAATGACAGTATGAATTTGCAATTATTTATGCTAAAGCGGATGTTTTCTTATTTGTTGTAAATCATTCTCAACCAGAAATAATGTATCATCAGTCCTAAGACGGTTGGATACGCACCTCCACTTTTTCCTATCGTGAGCTAATCTTCGCATTTTCATAAAACAAGAACAACCCACATCCTTAACTATTTGTGAACAGTAATCTAATCTAGGTCTATATCTCCCTCTCCTAACTCCCATTTCTGCCTCTAATATTTCTGTGACTAAACCTTCATACCTACCACCCCATCTCGCCTATTTCTTTTTGGCTTCCATTCTCCTATTGTTCTATATTCTATTCTATATCTGTTCTCCTATTCTTTCTAATATCTCTTCATTTCTAACCTTGTCGATCCACGGTATCCTTATCATTCGCCTGTAACACCACATTTTGATCGCTTCTAACCTTTTCTTTTCCGCCGCGCCATTTTTCACACCCGTACTACACCACGTTCTAAACATACACCTTTAACAATCTTTTTGAATTTCCAGATAAATCGTTTGCGAACATAAAAGTGACTTCTTTTTATTGAAGACGACTCGACCCTGCGCTATCCTCTGCTTTATATCCCTATCACTCCTTCCGTCCTAACTTATCTGACTTCCTAAATACCTACCTAAAATCAGTCACTTCTAATTTTGCGTCTTCTACCTTTATATTCGCTCTTTCCCTACTTTGTTTGCCCTTGCATACTAGTATTTTTGTTTTACTTTTTACGTTTTAATACTGTTTTGTCAGTACTGCATCCATTTTATTTGAAGCTATCTGTAACTCCTCCTTGCTAGATGCTAGTACTGCTACATCATTAATGTATACCCTTCAAAAACAATTGAAATAACAAAACAATTGTTAGAGCTTCTCCAATTTTATTTTGAGAAAAAAAATTGTTTTCTTTCTTTAAATTGTCATTAATTATTATTATCATCTATTTAAAAAACGCTTTTTCAGACGTGCACTACAGCACGCTTCGTTTGGAATTCAACGTTTCCCGACAGATTGGCTACTACATTATGGATTTCTTTATTCCTTCAATTCTTTTAGTCATAACATCATGGGTAAGCTTCTGGTTACAAGCTGACGCATCTCCAGCGAGGGTGGCTTTAGGTTATTACCATTTTTCATTACAAAAAACTTTATTTAATCAGCATCTCTTGTACAGGGACGTCCACCATGTTAGCATTCATCACGTTAACATTGGGCCAATATTCTAATTTCCCAAAAGTGCCTTATGTAACTCTTGGTGAAATTTGGTTCATTGGATGCACAATCTTTATATTCCTATCCATTACGGAATTTGCTTTTGCGAATGTGATTTGGAGAAGAAAGCAAGTAGTCAATATTCCCCAATACTAGATAGTATTGTGGCGAAATAACTGTTATTGTTTTGTTTTTGTGTGTAAATATTTTTTCTAATTTTTCCATTTCAAATAATATTTCATTTCAAATAATATTTCATTTCGAATATTATTTCACTTCAAATATTATCTCAATTCTTTTCAACTTCTTATCTTGTAAATACTTTGGTTTCCTTTCAATCTAAACTCTATTGTTCTTTCAATCACTTTTACCTGGAAATCCAACTTCAACCATACCTGCATGCACTCCCATACTAATATCTGGTTTTACCCTTAATTGCTTTCTCTTGAATTCTGTACTATCTAATTCTGTGTATTCCTAGAAACTAGTGTCTTCACCCTCTCTCTCACTACTTTTCCTTCTAGAACATTCTATCAAAAT